TGGGGAATTCTGGGAGTTGAAGTCCACACATCTTAAAGTCGCCAAGGTTGAAAAACACTGGCTTAGAGCAAGCCATGACGAAAAGTTTCATCAACCTGCAGGGTTTAGTTGTAGCCTTTATTATACAAATGGAAGGCAAAATGGCAAAATGCATGATATATTTTGTTCCTGCACCTATCGTGGCTAACATTAGCAGACTTAGATCGTACACTCAGCTTGGGGAAATTGGTTCCTGCAACTGGGATCTGTCCTCCTGCTTTTGCAGACATTGCAAATCGGTATTTTGTCATAGAAAAGTCCACACGAAGAGGTGGGCTTACGGCAGCAAACTTTGCAGATCTCCAGCGTTCAATAATGCATTATGAAAGTACCGGTAATACTCACCCTTCAGCTGAAGTTGGCAAAGATACAAGAATCACGTTTCTAAAAGGTTAAGAGATCCTGTGCAGAGATAAGCTTCACTCATTTTTTCCCGTGGGTGTCAACCCTGCCCTTTCTTATTTTCTGGTGGCTTCTGTACTTGTTGCTTAAGGTGGCTGGGCGCCTTTATTTCGAGTTCTCCCGTATAATCTTTTAAATGAAAAATATCGCAAGGTCAAGATACAATTGCACCGTCTACCTTCTACAATACACTCCGAGAACAGTCCAGATATAAAGATGCATCAAGGCAATCCAGTTATTTATCTAAATTATGAAAGGTACATATTGCCAATATGCAATTCATTTATTTTACTCTGCCCTAACTGTGTCCTGAGGAAATCTATTAAAGCAGTATTCTATTGATTTTTGAGGTCAAGTTATATTTCCTAGAATGCTTCTGAATTTTCAGGAAATATGCATTTGCCATTCTAAGGATAGACATGTCCTCTCAAAAACAAACATCTTTGGACCGCTAGAGGTTGGCTCCAAGATTGCACCATTCAGAAGACAGTGGTAAAGTTCTGACCTGGCTGGTTAATAATCTGCATATTAACACGTTAACACATGCAAGAATTCTCTGCAAGAAAGCACTGTATATTAATAGTACATTTTTAGAAGTTTCTTTATGAACAAAGAGTCAATGTATTCAACCATGGTATTTTTAATAACATTATATGGATGTGAAAGTTGGACGGTGAAGAAGACGACAAGTAGAAGCTTTCGAATTACGGCAATAAGGAAGGTTGACACAGGTACCACGGACTATCTGATGAACCAATCCATTGGTATTGGAAGAAATCCAGCCTATGCTTTCCTCAGAAACTAGAATGACAAGGCTGCAGCGTTCTTGCATGGGACATGTCATGTGGAGAGAAGGATTATTAGCGAAAGAGATCCTGCTTGACAAGGAAAACCCCGAAGAGGAAAAGCAGCGGCACCATGGACTGGTAGCATCTCAGCAGCCTTTGGATGCCATCGATTGTCTGCCTGGTTAAGACCAAACACAGTTCAGGATGACTGTCCACAGGGTCACCATGGGCCAACATCAAGTTAACGGCAGGTAATAGCATAGGTAATAGGCCAGCTATAATTTTACACCAAAAAATTGCTTGTTTTCAAGTTTCTTAAAATACTCTCCCATACAGGATTGCCAGTCACTTTCCTGTTCCCGCAGCAGGAATGTGGGCGGGGCAAGAGGCTCAGAAGAGACCCTCCCTAGTTTTTGGGCTGTAAAGGGGACATCAGTCTTGCAAGTACTTTCAGACCTGCAAGATTGATGTCAGCCTTACGAGATAGACCAGACAGGAAACACAACCACATGAGCTAATTCTGCTTTATTGTAAGGCTACATCAACAGAATCTTGCAAGTCTGAAAGGACAAATCTCCTCCCTGTCTCCTTTACAGCCTGAGAAACTTGGGAGGGTCCCTTCTGAGCCTCTTGCCTCACCCACATTCCTGCTGCAGACGAAGCAGCCTTTTATCTGACTGTTCCCTTGGTTGTGTCTCACTGCCCTGTCTCCCAAGGTCATTCCCACATGCCATTACAATAGGTATATGTATGTATATATATATAATTCAGACTTGCAAAAAAATGTGTCCCTTTACACAACTTGGCCTCCTTTTTGAACTGCAGTGCCATCCTTCCCGCCTCTGTCCGCTATTGTTTGGTTTATTTTTGAACATGGATCTAGCCCTCTTTGGAATAGAGCAAAACCTTTGTCCAAAAGCAGGCAGTCCTGGGGATCAGTGGCCCTTAGCCTTGATGGCCGTGGGGCTGCCTCTGAAGGCCATCTGCTGGGAGACTGGTGGGCCTCCTTGGGCAGTTGGTTGGCCACTGGGAGAACAGATTGCTGGACTAGATGGGCCTGGGGTCCGATCCAGGAGGGTACAGCTTATGTTCGTGTCAGCTGATCAACAGTCTGTCTTTGAAGACACCCACTCAAAACACTGGTGCAAAACTAGAGCGAGTTTTGACAGGTGCTAACTCTGCTAGTCTAGCCATTGGTCAAAACTGACCTCCACCCCAGCCCAGCCAGTGCTATTGATCCTGTCTGGTGGGAGAGGATGGAGAAAATCCATCTCTCCCTATCCTTAGCATGCCCTATACATTGGCAGTAAGGCAGGACCATTTTTCAGCACTGGCAAGATCAGGTCGCCAGTGGGAATAACAAATGTTATGTTGTTACAGGTTCAAGGATGGGTGGAGAGCAGTTTAAATGAACCATAAGAACACCCCAAATGTGGGAATCAGCCAGATCTCTTAAGATGTTGACTTTCTACTTGGAATTGAAGTATTGAATGTGAAAAGCCTGGCACGGTGGAAAATTTAGAGTCAGGGGAAGAATCAGATAAGCAGAGAAAGAAGAGCTATTATCAGATAAGATTTAATGTTTTGTATTGTAAGCCCTGGAGATGCGGCGTGCTGGAAGAGAACAGTGACTAATTTGTATTAAACATATTTGCGTGATGCCACAATCAAAGATGACTCTTGGCAGCTCACATAAAAATACATTGCAAAACAAACCCCACGCCAAAATAAAAACCCAACAGCGTATTTGAGAATTTATTTCAAAGCACTATCAATTATCGGCTGTGACTGATTCTTCAGTTCTTCCTACTCCTATTACATTATTATCATCATCATCAGTTTATGCATTACAGTATGAATTAAATGTATATGAAAGAAATGAAACTTGAATGCCAAAGATTGCAAGTCCCTTCGCCCCTGGCTTGAAATTCCAGTTTGTTCCTGGTCAACTTTCTCTCTCTGGTCTTGAAGCAACGTTTAACACACAGAGAGATGTGTTTGACGTTCATCATTCTGGGATCCTCTTGAAAGCCTTTTAGTTTGCGGGCAGCTGCTGTGGTTTATCTTTTCTTTCACTCCATCTTCCCAGTTGTTCTCTTTGGCCCTTCCCCTCCCTTTGCTACACACAGCTGTGTGGTTCGCAACCAGAGGAGGCCCTCCCAGTGGAGTTGCTCTCAGCAAAGCGGCTGAAGGCGTTCATTGTGTGTGCAAGGAGCTCCCTCTGCAGACGCACCAGGAAAATCCACTAATATTGAAAATAGAAGTGCCCCCCTCCCCCTGCAAAGCTCCAAATACCATTTTACCTTCCCTGGGAGAAAAGAACGACACACATTCGTTTGTATTTTTAAACCACACTCTATGCAGATGCTCCCTTACTCCTTGGGGCTGGAAATCCCAGCCTCTGGGGGATCCGGTCTGAACTTTTCGCCATGTGTATTCATCCACATATCCCCCTTTGAGATTTTATTTATTTGAAAGTGAGACACACACACACACACCTCCTCACACTAAGGCAAGATACTGATGGAACTGTCAATTCAAGGGAAATAAGAGAAAATGATATTCAGGGCAAAATAAAGTGGAAAGCCATCAGACAGCATTGAATTTGGGGCTGGTTGATCTTCTCCAGTTTTATTTTTAATTGTATATACCGAAAGAACTAAAGAGAAGAGTAATAGAAGTGTATATCTCTTCGCAAACAAACTGATCTTCCATACATATTCACACTTGGTTATACAATTGGATTGCAGACTGTTAATTCAATGCAGTCCAGGTGGTTGAACAATCCTCCTGTTGAGACTCTGGATCTTCCATAGCTAGCACTCTAGCTTCAACCACAGCGGTGGTCCATGTTTCTCTGGTTCATCCGGATGAGGATGGGGCCAGAGCGTTCTTCCTAATCCCAGGAGAACTGTCCCTAGAAGTGGAGAACATTTACTGAAAGGGAAGGGAAAGGCACGCTCCCTGCAGTTGCTAGCTGACGGACCTGGACAGGTGGTCTCCATTTTGCTATTGTTGTTCCTGGGACGTTACTGGTGCAGTTTTTAAATAGTTGTTGGCCTCCTGATACAGTAGATGTATTTGTTCTGCTTGGGTCATATTGAATGTGATGGAACATTGGGGACTGCCGTACCCAAAGGTCCTCCCTTAAGTCAATGAATTCAGGGTGAACTATTTTTCCCCTGAGTATGTCTTGCTGACTTTCAGTTAACTACCCAAAGTGGTCCAACCCTTGCAGGTTACAAATCTAGCAGCCTGCCACCGTCAAAAGGGCTGTGTGTTGACAACGTCCACCTGCCCTGTTGGAGCCCAGATGTCACTGTTAATGCACAAAAATAAGGGGAAGAACTTCATTAGCTCTTTCTCACACATTGAATCCCAAGTCTTGTAGAAGGAGGTGGGGAGAAAGATGATAGGGCCATTTGCCTCCAAATAAAACTAGGCAGCTGTTCAGTTAATGATAGACTTGGGAAGAAGCTCTGGAAGATCAAAGTCAATCTCTCTTACTCAGGGAAGGTGCCAAATAGCTTGGGGAGGAGGAATGAAACTGCCGAGAAGGTTTTCATAACTCCATCTCCATCTTTTGGTGATCTGCAAAGGCTGGGCATCATCGCGCTTGGAGATTAAGCTCTGCGCAGGCTATTACATTTCCCTCTAGTCACCAAGCAACTGACAACCAGTGGTTTAAAATGATGCTGTTTGCTATATTAAATTTCACAGCTTTAGTTTTAGTTGACCTTAGTAAAATATAGACATTTTTTAGAAATGACAAAAAAGATCCTAAAGACAGTAGCTAGAACCAGAACAGCCAATGTTTACGGTAGACACAGAATTTCCACAGAGTTATTCAGAAGCTGTATTTAAAGTGTGTGTGTGTGTGTGTGTGTCATTGAGTAATGATAACTACTCCATCACACACCACAGTTTCTCTTTCAAAGTGTTCTTGACTCTGTGCCTCTGGTCTTACTGGAGCGTATTTTGTACACGTGTGTGTACAGGAACGTGATGCTCTAGCATTGCAAATGATCTCCCGGAGAAGCTCCAGGATGAATTAAGAGTATAGAAGCAAATATTTTAGAGCCTTGAATCTTGTTTCAGAGAACATAACATGAAAAAGAGTTTTAAGAAGCTTTGGGACAACATACAGGGAAGAATCCTTCCCCGCCCCCCCCCCCCAGCACTGGACGTTCACATTCCAGAAAACCTAGAAGCTAAGAACTTGAGTTCCTTGCCCAGTTTCACTGCTTTTTCCCCATAATAGAGAGAGGCTGAATGGAGTCTGGAAAATGGGCTTTCTTTGCCTAATTCATAGGCAGAATTCAACTTGGTGCGGAATTTAGGGGACGCTGGTGTAGAATGTTGATATCTTGGCTTAAACGCTCGGAGCCTTCGTTTCCCTCCTTTTATCCTGGTTCTAACAAACCACCACCAAGTGGGGCCTGCAAGGAAGGGGCAGGGGGCTTCTCGTCGCTGTTCCCAGCCGCCCTCCTGCCTTCTGGGCCTGCGCCCACCAGGATCCAGCCTCTTCCCCATCCCAGTCCTTTCCCTTCCACCTGCTAATGCGCAGACGGTGCCGTGTCTGCAGATCCGAATTAGAAGAAACAATAACTGTAATCATTGTAAAGTTGACTCCAGGAATAGGAGTCCTTTTTTAAAATCTTTTGAATGGATGGGATGCTGTGTATCGGAGAGAAGAAGACTACTCACTTATCCCAATTCTCTTTTCAGATGCTCAGAATGACGTGCAGAGCAAAAGCTAACTTTGATATTTATCTTCTCGTACATTCCCTCTTCCCAAAGCGTGCTAGATTTAAAATAGTTTCAAGCAACAACCAGGCTTCCCCTTCACTGTTTCTCTGGGTGAAATTGGTTCCTAGTGATGGATCACTTAAAGCTTTCCTTGATCTTTATTTAATTTACAGATAATGAAACATTTGCTGCAGCTTTCCTGCAGCTTTGGCCCAGCCATTTCCTCCAAATTGTTCATTAATCATTCATCGGCCTGCCTTCTGCAACTGCTGTGCTTATGGCTGGGATTATGGACGTGGAAGTGCTGTAGAATCGGTGCATCGATGCAAATGCTAACTGTTACGTTGTGTGAGCAGCACCTCGGTGATCCGCTCTGGTCTCAGAAACTAAGTAGGGTTGGGTCTGGTCATCCCTGGGGTGGGAGACCACACCAGGAAGTCCAGACTAGACAAGGAGTAAGCAAACAAGCAAACTATGCCAGAAGAAAGTTCAGTTTTTAAGAAAACTAAACGGGCTTGTCCATAAAGTCAGCAAGAGTGATGCTCAGCTGAAAGGAGACTTCCCATTTTTAATGATTTTTTTTTTTTTATCCGCAGAGCTTTTTCTCCAACATTGCTTACGCAACTTTCATCAGCTGCCAGGATCCTCCATTTCTGACCCGCAGAAGGGGAAAGAGGGCACGCACGTGAGGGAAGAGCCCCATTATTTCGCCCACTTCTACTCCCTCCAGGTATCTGCAACCCTCAGCAGGTATGTTCCTTGTCAATGTTGGGATGCTGTTTGCTCAGCCGTAATACTCTTGGGGAATGCTTTCCCAAGCCCCGCCCCTGCCCCGCCCCCAAGAAACCAGAAGGGCTGGGGGTGCAACCATTGCAGAAGAAACACAATTCCGTGTCTGTTCCTGCATCCTTCAGGAAACACCCTTGGAGGCGCTGCTAACCGCTGCTATTCCTACTAGAAGCCTCAGCTGCTGTCTCGCACAGGGGGTCTGCAGGGGGGGTCCAAAAAGCCATGAGGGCGGCTGTGATTTCACAATCAAAGTCCCACTCCCTTTTAAGTGCATCAACGCAAGTCAAAAGGGAACGGGGCCATTGTGGACACCACCTCGTTTATTTTTGCCACTCCTGCAGATGTTCTTGGCTTCCCATGAGATTAACTGCCCTTCAGCCGGCAAAGAGGCTTGCGAGGGAGGAGAAAAATCTCAGGAGACAGGAATCCCTCACCCTTGCACCCAATAGTCCCTTAATTTTATCTCCTCCCCCCCCACCCCCATCAAGCTTAATCATTTTGTGTCTTTCTAGGGACATTCACTGGCAGGAGACACTTAGCTTTCCTGTCAGGCAATTAGATTCTTCTTATCACTGATAATCCCAAAGTATCCATATTGCCCTTATGTATATCATCTTCATCTTCATCATCATCATCCTATCTTTTCTTTAGGATCCTAAAACGGTTTACGTGGGAATCTCCCTCCATTTTATACCTACCCCAACCTTGTGGGGCAGGTTGGGTTAAGAGTGATTGGCCCAAAGACCCCCATTGAGTTTCTGTGGTTGAGGGTTAAATGATTAAATGATCAGGTCATGATTGTTAAACATCCCAGTTTAGAAGCTTTGGGTACTTGGAGCCCAACTTGTCCTTGAGCAGTTATATTTTTCACTCAGGAACCGTCTGCTCCTTTATCACGTGAATTGTTAGGACCTGAGGAGATGTTCGGGTGCAACTGGCAACGGAAGTTGAGATTTTGCAGGCTTGATAGCCACAGGAAGGATTAATGGCTGCCTGCTCCATTAATTCCACTAAGTTTGTCCCATCAGGCTTTAAGATTCCAGAAATGGATTTGGTAATTCAGAATTTTCACCCAATAGCTGGGTGTCCACAGAGGGAGGCCAAAATATGCAAGGTGGTGGACATGGCATTGCCATCAAACTCCCACCTCTTTTGTACTATGGTCGTACCCACATATAAAAGGGATGGGATTTTGATCATGACACCATGCCTACCACCTTACACATTTTGACACCCACACCATGGCCCAATGCTGCTGCTGCGTCCACATCATTTATGCATGTTGTCTGCTTCTTACAGGCTGCTGTTGCATTAGCAGCGAAAAGGCCCATAACTATATATATATTTTTTAAATGCAATCGTATAAGGATAAGGTATTCAGCATGTGAGGAACATGTGCTAAATCACGGTATCTCGGGGCTGAAAAATATGTCAGTTCAGATAGGTATTATTTTTTCACATTTTTCAGATACACCTTTTCTCAGTGGCTTCTGGTTGCATCCTTGGTGACCAGCCAGTAGAGGGAGCCATTTTCCACAAGGAAACTTAAGTTTGCTATCTGGTTACTACTGATATTACTAATGGCCTAGGCCAGTGTTCCTCCACCTTGGCCGCTTGAAGATGCGTGGACTTCAACTCCCAGAAT